TTTTTAATTGTATTTATTGATACTATGTAGGTTTTAATAAACAATTCTTTGTTGTTGTTAGTTAAATAAAACTTTTTTACCGTATAAACTCGAGTATTCTTCCAGTCCAAGGACTGGAGAACATCAGGCGTACTGATTGCAGTCAGTTCCTTTACTAAATTCAATTTTTAGAATACGCTGATTACGAATACGCAATTCTCAATACTGAAAGTTCACTATTGAACTTGAAAGATATATACTTAGCTCCTGTGGACTTAAATACACAACCATAATGTTCTGTATGTTATATGACTTTATGAATTATTCATAAAAATGCCTCAGGCGTAGCAGGTGCCTTAAATTGCTCTAACACAAATAATCTACAACTTACATTATATGTTGTTAAGCAACAATAGGTGTGGTCGGTACTTAAACAGTATATAAAGAGAAAAGATACTTAGTTGAATATATATATATTATGAGAATAGATACATAAATTTATGTGTTGGTAATGTTATTGCTCTATTAAATAGTCTTGTGTTAATAACTGAAAAGAAAAAAATATAATTATGTAGTATTAAAATTAATATATTTGTCTTAAAGTAGATTATATTTCACAGAGCAGTGTCTATTGTCCAATTAGCTTCAACGTGACTCTTCAGCAGACATGGACAGAAAGTCGCATTTAACACTCGCTCGTACTTGAAGCATCCTCACGGCGTGCCCGTTTGCCCTGTTCCATAAAAAAAAGTGCGTGCTCTCTCCCTTTTCTTCGACAAAAACGATGCACATCTTCGTGACGTTTTTTAAAAATTTTACTAAAGAAGTTTCACTTTAAAAACAAATGTACCCTGAACAGATACTGAAATCTAAGGACCAGAACTTAAAAGGCTGAAGCGGCACTGTTTTTTTTAATATATTACTTAAAATGTTTCAGGTCTCCGCAGTCATTGAAGAAGACGCGTTTTGACCGACATAACGAGTGCCCGAGAATCAACGAAACGGCTAAACATGACAAACAGCCTACGAACTAATAAATTGTTAGAAATTTTAAGCTACAACGGATAACAGCGACATCTCTTAGACACTTTAAGAACCAGCTAAAAAATCGTGTTTAGGTTTAGTCACAATTTGAATTCATTGAGTTAACGGATGTATGCTTATTTTCTATCAATTTATCAGTGCTGGCTGTATGGCCTTAGTTACATTTTGATCTCCTATTAATAATCATTATTTATAATAATGCCATATTAAGGTAATGCTTCGGTGTTCTTAGTGTAAGTTTTTGTCCTATTTAGAATATTTCTCTTAAACGTTCGTATAAACCAAAAACTTGCGGTGCCTTACTATGTAATAAAATTTGAATTCCCTCTTTGGTCCTTTAGTTTAAGTTAAAAGTCACAATTTTATCGATAACAATACTTCTTTATGCATTTATCATTGTTTACATATAGATTAAAATTGGTGTAATTATTTGATTGAATGATGTTGAACACTATTTTGGCAAGTGATAAATTTAATCAAATAATATATATCGAATTAAATATTGTTCTACTCCTTTAGCTTTAAGCAATGATAATTTTCTTGGAGGTTCAAATTTTGTATATTATTTTTTGAATCTTTAACAAAGTTATCGTTTTATTTGTCTGTTGTATTTGCATATTTCAGATATACTTCGATAAGGGAATAAAATGTCGATAATATTTTTACATTTGTGTTAGCAACGCCATCTGTTTTTTGTCACTTGCACTACATGTTTATTGACAAATACATAGATGTCGTGGTGATCAATACTAGCTATTGAAAAAGATATTATTTTCGACATTTACTCTCTAAGCAAAGTTATAATAACAATATCAGGTGCATGAATTAAATTTAAAAAAAATATTTTTTTACTCCAAATATGCGGTAGCTAAGACTAGAATTCCTATTCTCAGAATAGGTTGTAATTACCTATTTTTTATTATTACCTGTCATTAGATTAAGTTTTGAAATTGTAGTCTCGATATTGTAATACTTAAATAAATGAATAAATTTAATTGTGCTTGTTTTATTTTAATTGTAACATTATCTTATGTAAAACTTCTTTTACTGAAATACATTTTTGATTTGAGAGATTAATTTTCTAACATTACATATTATGATATAGGGCAAGAACTCTCCGCCACTCTTTTTAATCGCTTAGTTTTGAGTCATACAAATTGTTGGAACTGCAGCAAATCAGTCCCAAGGATTATGATCATTGAAATAATCGCCAAATTTATAAAAAGCTTTATTGATCAACGTACTTTTAACGAGAGTGTTAAATTTATTCAGTGATAATTCTCTAATTTCGCTTAGGAGTTTGTTGTAAAAACGAATACAATTTCCATATAAGAAGTGGTTAATCTTCTGGAGCCTGGTTGGTAGTACGCTTAGTGTAGTTCTGTTTCGAATATTATACTGATGAAAGTCACCATTTGTTTTAAAATCGTTTATTTTTAGGAAATACAACAAGGTTTCAAGAATATGACCAAATAATGTCATAAAACCCCTTAAACTTATTCCGTACCGACTCCCTTGGGGAAACACAACAAATACCCCGAACAGCCCGCTTCTGCAGCACAAATGTGGATTTCGCAGCTTAGTTGTATTGATATAGATATATATAGATTTACCATAAGAGATAGGTTCATGAATGTCTCTGAACTAAACTATCTATTGACATATCAGGGTTTTTCAATTTGAATATGTCAATATTAGCGCTAAGCTCGTCTCGAATTCATACCTTTAGTTAACCGTAGACTTAAGGCCCTATCCCAGCACGAATTGCTGTGTCAGTGTCTCGGGGTAGAGGAGAGCTGGAGCACTGAGGCGCGCCGGCCCGTAATAAAAATTAGTTATTGTAAAACATTAAATTAATGTAATTTTATCAATTTTTTTTCTGAAATGGATGACTTAGCTAATGGCGATAAAATATATCGTGTAAATTTCAAAATCGTGTTCTATACATTTTAGTCATAAAATGAATTCAAAGTGTCAAAAATTGACTAGGTTTGGATTTTTTTTTTCTATAGAGCGAAGTTATTTAAATCGTGTATCGATCTTTCAAAATGGATACATAAACTACTCAACTCCACCATTATATTATTTCCATTCTCCCTGCTCCAAGAAACAGTGACGAAAAATGGTAAGAAACAATGTACTTTTTTGGAGTTTGGCGACCAGATAGGTCTTTAAGTTGGGCGTCGGGACTCTCACGAAACTGTCTGTGTGTTTAGGATAATCTTTACCACTACTAAATATATTTATTGTAAAAAGAGACAAATTGTGTCCAAGTATGCCGTGACTACAATTTTCAAAGCTAAGATTGCCACCGTTTCGTCTTTTGTTTTACGATATAAACGACTATTTTTTTCTGGTCAAATCAAACCTGGAGACCGCAGTACTTTGTTCACGACACAACAAATTTATAAGGGTAAGTGAGAATTATATAAGGGTAAGTGAGCAGTGTTGGCCTAGTGGCTTCAGCGTGCGACTCTCACCCCTGAGGTCGTAGGTTCGATCACCGGCTGTGCACCAATGGACCTTCTTTCTATGTGCGCATTTAACATTCGCTCGAACGGTGAAGGAAAACATTGTGAGCAAACCGCCTTGCCTTAGACCCAAAAAGTCAACGGCGTGCGTCAGGCACAGAAGGCTGACGTACTTGCCTATTAGATTATTAATTGATCATGAAACAGATACAGAAATCTGAGGCACAGACCTAAAAAGGTTGTAGCGCCTTTGATTTATTTTGTTATACTTAATAAGTGTATGCAGAATAATTATTAATTTGATCCGGAATTCCAACTAACCGCTGAAGCGTGGTGTACAATTTGGCTTGTGTTTGCCACAATTTCTATGAACCAAGGTTGCTATTAAACATATATGAATATGTTTTATAATATTAATTAATAGCTGAATGGCTTAATAATTAGATCTGCACTCATCTTTAATATTTTGTATTAATAGATGTGTACCTTACTTGTAAGTAATACTGTGATAAATAAACGAAATATTGTTACATACGATTTTTTTTATTATATACATATTCAGAAAGCAATTTACAACAGTAAGGTGGAAACACAAACTGGACATAGTACAGTACAGTGATTGACTATAATAATAATTATTTAGTTCATGCCTCATTAGAGAGACACCAATACAAAAGGAAATCGGAGTAGCAGCTATACTAGCTATAGTATTAAGATTGCGTGTTCAAACATTCACTTAACGTGAATTAAGTATTAAGTAACTTGAATCCACCTTATAAATATTCAAGTTTCATTGCAGGTATACGAGCGTCATTGCACACAAACAAGCTATTTTAGAATAATCTTAAATATTTAAGATCCTATTCATTAATTATTATCAAAACCTTGAGTTCAAGGTGCGGGGAAAATACCACGAATGATTTTATTACTACTTATTTTTTTTTTTACTACAAATTATTGCGATAGGTGAGTATAAATGACTCAATGACTAGGTGATAAATAGCATTCTAGATCGGACTAAGAAAGATTTTCGATTGAAATAAAACAGAAAATTAACAACTAAAACATTTTTAATTATAATATTAATATATTATAATATTAATATATTATAATATTAATATATTATAATATTAATATATTAAATATTATAATATTAAATATAATATATTATAATATTAATATAATTATAATATTAATATATTATAATATTAATATATTATAATATTAATATATATACTTGCTAGATTTTGGCGTGATAGGGAAAAATACACTATGATTCATAGTTCTTGTACATCAATGTTTATATACGTAATCATAAATATTTGCTATAGACTAGTTTGGCAGTAAGCATAATATAATGAGAAACAATCATTAAAGTAAGTCCTAGTAATCTCCTTAATAACAGGATTAAGACGTTGCGTAATAAAAGACTGAGGTTATTAATAAGAAATATTCTTTTCAATAACATAAATACGTTAATATTCATTCAAAAAACACTTAATCTATTTAGGGCTGCAAAGCGTTCAAACCTCCCAAATGACCCTCGTCACGAATCCTTTGTTGCCTCAACCTCTCATCTTCATAGCCATCAATTCCCAGACCAAACCGCTCTATTAACTTTTCGCCTTTATCCCCATTCAATTCAATAAATTGTTTTCTTCTTCGTTGAGCAACGTCTGGGTCAAATATCCACGTCTGAGCATCGTGGATGACGGGAAACCCGATGGCGTTCGTTTGGAGGAATGTACCGATCGGCCCAGCAGGAGCAGAAAGGACTTGTTGGTAATACAGGAGCAGAAGACAGATCGACTAAAACAAATGAATTTCGAGATAAATCACTTTGGCTTTGGGTTAAGATAACCTAAAATAAGCCTTGTGTGCCTGTTCACCCAAAACAATTATCTTTGCCGGGACGCAGAGAGCTGGTTGAAATGTTTTTTGTTTTACCAACTAATCCACTGCTATAAAATACTAGCTGATCCGGCAAACGTCGTTTTGCCATGTATATCATTTATAATAAAAAATAGGGGTTGATCGTAGAGGGGTGAAAATTAGGGGTTGTATGTATTTTTTAATGCTGTATCATAAAAAATAAATAATAAATAATTTATCTAAAAATTAAAAATAATAATTTAGGGGTGGACTACCCTTAACATTTAGGGGGATGAAAAATAGATGTTGTCCGATTCTCAGACATATCCAATTAGCACACAAAATTTCATGATAATCGGTCAAGCCGTTTCGGAGGAGTTTAACTACAAACACCGCGACACGAGAATTTTATATTATAAAATATATACCTATACTACTTAATTTTTAAAAACAAAAATTATAAAATATGACGATATACGAATAAAAAAACTATTGTATTAACTCTCCAATACACTTGTTGACCGATAGGTACAATTAAATTTGGTTTATTTTGCTAAATATATTAAAAGAACCGCAAATATACTATATGAACACACAAACTATATATTGAATTATAGCGACATAATAAACGTTTAAGTTAATTTAACACTTTGCAATACCGTAAAATTACAATTTAATGGCAATATAATGTTATTTTATTCGATCTTAACTAGGCGTCTGACAGCCTGATACAAACTTAATACGTGTTGAATATAAATGAATTTAATAAATTGTTTGTTTAAACTAAATCTACCCAATTATTTTTTTAGTAATAACTTATTAAGATATTTTGTTAGAAATACTTTTCTAAAACCTTTTTATATATATTTATTTTGTATATACATAACCGATTTCACAGACACTAAACACAAAAAACTCACTCACAATAGCCCTCATTTTTCCATGTCAATACCACACCGTGTCCAACTTGTATTTGTTGCAACTCAGGCAACCCAAGTTTCTTAACCGGCCTATAATTAAGTATGAATTACTTTATACTTGCGAAACAAGCGACTGCCAAAAAACTTATGGCCCGCGAACTGGTGTATTACATAATTTGAACTTCGGGGTAATTATAATTTGTTAATAACAATGCTTTGTGCTGGAGGTTAAAGATCATTTGGTAATTGCGATTTAAAATTCATTTAAGCTTTAAAAATGTTGCGTATTTTCGGTGGAAATTTATAGTAGACTAGCTGGTGCCCGCGACTTCGTCTGCGCAGAATTAAAATAATATTTGTCCAAATGATGTAGCGTGAAAGATATATTATATCTACTTTAAATAACCAATGCGATAAAAGTATCTTTTTTCATTTAGGAATCAATTTATTTGTATTACCAAATATGGATTTAAAATAAATTATCAATTTTTATAGTAGTTATGGTTCACTGTTTTGGCTATAATGGCTTACACATAAGACACAGATATACATTATGGCGGACACAGATATCCTTTTTGTAGGACTATTTAAGATAAACATTTCCATTATACATTACATATAGGTATGTAACTCTAGCGGTTTTGGCAGTTCACGCCAAAATAGCTCGCAGATGGTAGATTTTTTCCTACTTACTTTTTAATTTTTTGACAATTCTCAGCATATCATTATAATAGCCTATGGGTCATTCTGACGTATAAGCTATATTATTGTAAAGTTTGATTAAAATCCATTCAGTAGTTTTTATGTGAAAGTGTAACAAACACCCGTCCATACTTACAAACTTTCGCGTTGATAATATTTGTATGATGTATTTTAGTTTTCGTAAATCTGTAAACATGCACCTATAGGGAAGAAGTATTGACTGTTTTGTTAGTAATTTCAAAAGTAAACTATGATGTCTTATACAAGTAGATGGTTTGAATTATATTGTATTATAATTCAAATCACGCAGTATCACAACGCAACATTATTACAGTTGTGCAATAGCAGGTTCTTCTCAAGGACCCATTAAACTTTCCAGGTAAAAAAATATATGAAATTTCGAATTCATATCACTTTATATTTACAGGGGGTAAATGTAAAGTGATACTGAGGCTAATATAAGAAGCAAAATCTAACAAATTCAAAATCATTTATTCGTTTAGGTAACACAATGTCCACTTATGAACGTCAATAAAGAAATACATATTAAATGCTTCTAATTTTACATTTACCGCCAGTTCTCAAATCAAGGGCGTAGAACGGACGAGAAGTAGAATAAACTCTCCGCCACTCTCTTTAATCGCCAAGATTTTGTTTTACACAATGTTTGTAAGGAGCTGCAACCATTACACCATGTTCCACATGACATCTTTAAGTAATTAATAATAAAATAAAAAACAAAGATTTGTCCTCTATCAGCAGTAGGCATGGTGAAATAAGAGCACGCACTTACATTCTCGTGGGAACAACACGCAACAACATAGTCGAAATAACTAACGCTGGCTAACTAATCCAAAGATACCAACCAATAGGTTGATTAAGCATTCCCAATTTCAATCTTGACTTCATGGTTGACATGACATGACATGACATAATATGGAGTATCTATGGTAGAGTGTGAACCATAAACAAAATGACATATCAACACATTTCAAAATGTTCTTACTCTTCTGTATTGCTATTGGCTAGCGCTGGTCTAACAACGCGCATGCGTAAACACCATCCCGCCTCCCACGTAAATAAGAAAAATCGATAAAATTGACAACGTTGGTTTGTATTTTTCTTATTAATATTATAAAGTGTAAAAATGATGCAAGAATATGACGATGACTACTTTTTCGAAGAGGACAAAATGTATGTAAATTGTCTATTTTAAATGTTTTATCTTTTTGTTTATCGCTGACTTCCCTTACAGAACATTATCTCGTATTTGAGTTTGCTGTTTGTTTTGTGAACATGTCCCAAAGAGTGCAAATTCTACCTTTTTATGACCCCAATTATAACCACATGTTGACCATCGGGCACACACTGTTTGAGGATAAAATGTAATTTTTTTCTTTTATTTTCTATTTTAAGTTTACGAAACTCAGAAATTTCTCTAGCTTAAGACATTTTTATATGTAAAATTATTTAGCAAACCAAAACTGGATATACCAAATAACTCCCATCTGTTGCTTCCTGTGAATGAAAGGTAACATTTTTTTTACTTAAAATAAAGCGCATTATCGCATTTATTTATTTTTGATTCATTTCTATAAAAACAATTAACGTGCAATTTATTTTTAATAATACATTAGCCAACTTCAACCGGACATACCAACCACCTCCAATTTATTACTACCTGTTGATGAAAGGTATTATTATTTTATTTTTATCTTTCTTTAAACGATGTCATTTCCTAACATAATTCTTATTTAGTGCCCCAGCGTTGATTGAAAATATACCCGTTGCTGATAACTCGATCCGTCTTGAAATGTAAGTATTTACAAATCCTACTTTAGGTAATGGCTAATTAAAATATTTAACCGACTTCAAATTCAGATGGCCCGCCTCCTAACCATACAAACTTTTTTATACACACATACACACTCTTGTCCTGTCATTGTGTGATTTCTCAGCTCTGGTGGCGCAATACCAATTCCTACTTTGTAATGACGATGTAGTTCCTCTATATAGATGTCGCGATCTTGGGATAGTGGTATACATTTTCTTGTAACATTGAACTTGGGATTACAATCGTTATTGCTGTTGGAACTACCAGAGCACCGAATACGAAATGAATTAATAAACTTAGTAATAAAATAAAACCTTATAAGATCATGCCTTTGTGTATAAAGAAACTAATCAATATTTTATTATTTTTGTGCGTTTTGATGTCGGAAGTATTTTATAATTTCTCGCTTTGATTGAAATGTTTTGATACAATATTGCGTCAGTATATTAACTATTAAATTTACAGAACAGAAGATACGGAGAATGCTGATTGTATTTACAACGATTTAAGAAGTAGCCGTTATTTAATACAGCATCAAAATCTTATGTGAGTTTGAGCCCTGTGTGTTCCCTGCACTGTGTGGACTTAATGATTGATTAAACATTTATTAATCGCATTTAAGGATCATCTATATACAGCTAAAATCATTAACACATACAAAGATTTGTATTGTATACTCTGTGCCAGCTATAATCAATCGATAGCTCTGGCTGTAGATACGGAGTATATTCCAAATTCTTTGTGAAATGATATTTTTTTCTTCTAACTGTTACCTAATCCGCTGTTTTGCTAGTAATTTTTATTGTATGTTTATTTTTTCTAACATTTATGTTTACCATAATTGTCATATATTTTAGAAAAGATAGCTTGTAACATATACTGTAGATAATAGCTTTATGTATGTTGTGTAAACTTTAATAAATAAATAAACATTCTCAACGTATATTCCGCTTTTCCTGTATTGCTAAAATAATAAATATTAGGAAATAAATGTGTTTTATTTAGTATCTAAATATCGTACTTTTGTAACTTCCAATAGTAGTAATACCATCGTTTTCGTATGCGCTGACGCAAAGTTGGGCTTGCAGAACAAAAACGCATTATTGAGATCGAAGTAGCTATCGGATGTTACAGGCTCTGGTCGTAGAGATGTATATAATCATAGTGAAAAACGACTTTACGCACAATAGTTTTCAATTTAGCAACAAGAGTGAACATTTTCTAGTTTTTCAACAAGGAAACTTTGCAACTTGTATGACTTCGCATTTTTTACATTTCCATATACAATAAGTTGTATAACTAACAAGATTACATCATCATTTGGTCCATTTTCATTTATTTATTTGGCACATTTGGCCTCTTTATTTCGTCCATTTCTGGACGTAAGCCTCTTCCATTTTCCTTCAGTACGCCCTACACTGGCCACCCTGCATGCACTGGGAGCCAACCTCTTAGACGCTGTCCACCTAGTCGGTGGGCCGCCACACGGTCTTTTGTTCTGCCGAGGTCTCCATTCAAGGAGCCAACGGGTGCATCAGTTCTTGAACATGCGCGCTTAGTGGCCTGCCCACCGCCACTTAGATATAGTTAAAGTTATATATCAGGGTTATATATTTATGATTTATCAAATACGTTATCGCTATATAAAAGAATGTGAGCATGCAATGAGCTTCATCGGCCCATGGTACTGACATATTGTACAACCAGGCACTTAAAGATGTCATTACTATCCAAATATTATATCGAAAATGCTTTTCGGATATAAAGTAATGACTAGATCTTAAAGGGAGATCTAAAATAGGATTCAAATCAGTCCAAGCGTACTTTTAGCAGCAAGCTGGCTGCGTTACCCACCAGAACTGTCCACATTTGTCCGGACGCAGGCTTATTAAACGTCGAAACTCATAATTACTGGTTATTTCAGGGGTATGACAGTGACATCGGGCAGTGTTGTTTTAACAAAAGATGAGAAAAATCTTATTGGTATCAGTATAGGTGGCGGAGCGCCTTTATGTCCATGTCTTTATATCGTACAGGTAATTAAATTAACGTATACGTATATAATATCTAGAGCAGTGTTGGTCTGCCTTGAGTGGCCGACTTTCAACCCGGAGGTCACGTCAAATCACGGACTTTTCTTTCTGTGTGCATTTAAGACACGCTCGTACGTTGAAGGTACGAAAGGTATGATCAAGAAAACAGCATATCTTTGATCTTAAAATTGACGGCGTGTGTCAAGCACAGATGGCTGATCTCCTACTTGCCAATTAAGAAAAATAAAATTAAGCTTGAGTCACTTGTTTAGAAGAAGTAAAAAACAAAACAATAAACAATGGTAGGCTATTGAAAAGAAATAAAGAAAATACTTTATTAAACATCATCAAAAGGATATTTAGGTAAAAAGAAAGTGCACTAGCCCCAACACTAGGATTCCCTGTGTTGTAGGCAGCCAGTCTCTTCCTTGTGACATGATAACGGTACTTGACAATAGTATCATATATGTATATAGTACGATACTCTTAAAGTAAGAGAAAGAATTTTCTAATTCTAAGAGCTATTTTCACTGAAAAACTTCAATAACTAACTATTAATTTCAGATATTTGATAACACACCTACAGCTAAAGATGGAACTTTGCAGAGTGGTGATGAAATCGTTGGTGTTAATGGTCAAAGTGTTAAAGGGAAAACTAAGGTTGAAGTAGCTAAAATGATACAAGCAGCTAAGGTATGTATAAAAATATTGAAGTCCCCAAAGTTTTCGCTTTTTGATAGACTCACTTTGGTACTCATTTACATACCATTAAAGAAAACGCTCCGAAAACAGCTCATATTAATTCTATTAATGAGTAGGGTTCATATCCAATAACCATTCACATCTAGGGGCATGGCATGGCAGTGCGCCTGCCAAGTCGAGCAAAAATGCGATCATTTTCTATGCTATTTCTACTATCCAATTCATATCATTTTCTCGAAGCAGTTTAGGCCATTTTCGACCCCCATAACATCTTATAGTAACCATATCAGAATTACAAATCTTTTATGTTTTTAAAATATATACGTAGATTGACTTGGCAATCGCATTAAACAATCTAATTTAATATATTGCCAAGATGTCCAATTGAATATATTAATTTATTTAAACCAATAAATATTTCTAATATTGATATGGTCACTATAAGATGTTGTTAGAATAGCCAATGACGTAATAACTTAAGACAGAAGATCCATTATTAAGGGACTGAATAAATTGACTGACTTGGTATTACATTGGACTACTATTACGGTGGAACAACCGCGTTCGAGAAGTTTTGTTTTTGATGGCATTTATATTAGTAATAATTGGAAGTCACTCATCGAATATCCGTCACATTAAAAAAACCCTCCAAATTCTATTCTAGGACAAAGCTAAGCACACAGAACATTCTTGATGATTTAGAAATTGTCATTGTCTCTCTGTCATTTTCAGGACACAGTTACTATAAATTACAACAAACTACACGCGGACCCTAAACAGGGCAAGACCTTAGATATTATAATGAAGAAAATGAAACATCGCTTAGTGGAGAACATGTCGTCTGGTACAGCAGATGCTTTAGGGCTGTCGAGGGCTATTCTATGCAATGATACGTTAGTTGCAAGACTAAATGAGATGAGAGAAACAGAGAATACGTATAAGAAATTGGTGGAATTGGCTAAAAGGTACACTAATTGATCAAAGTTATAATGATATAAGAATTGAACATTAAAGGTCCGCACTTATACTCTCACTAAGTCCGTTTTCTGTAAAGTCGTGGCTAACCAAGCCTAGCTCCTTACACAAGCACAGAAATCTCCTGGGCACTTCAAATGCTTTACGGAGCGACCTCACTGTTCCGAGGATTTTTGTACGTTAGCATTCCAGGACTACGTGGGTGACTGATTCCTCTGCGCTGATACAACCCTCTACCTCAACCAAGGCACTATACACCATAACTATGTGACACGATTGACGTCTTAGAAACTGACAACTGTACGCTCTTATTGGTGACACGGGACCGTTTAAACGCCGCAACATTTCTGAATTAGAGCAACCGTTAAATGTTAAAAAAAAACTTTTGGGTCCCGGTTTTGAGCCCGGGAATTATTTAACAATTCGATTAAACGCGTTACGGAAATGTCAATTTTACACCTCTCAATGTTCCTTTAAAATGATTAACTCATTTATTTCAGAATGTTAAAATCATATTTCGACTTACTTCAAACATTTAAGTCTCTTGGTGATGTTTTCGCTACTATTGGTGTGAGAGAGCCTCAAGCGAGGGCCTCCGAAGCATTCACAAAGTTTGGCCAATATCACAGATTATTAGAACGAGATGGGATCAAAATGTTGAAAACTTTAAAACCGGTAGGTAGCATTGAATTGTATAAGTAGTTTTATTAATAACTATTTACTTTTACCCAAGTTAATTTAATTAAAGCTTGATGTTACATGCCGCCCAAAAAAAAATATTCGACTCCCCTTCGTTCCTGCGTTCGAGATATGTTCTGCCAAACAAACTGAGGCTAACTTCCGAAAGTCTATAAAATGCTTTTAGCAGATTTTTTATTGATATCCCGCTCCTTTTGATTGTTATCTCACCTGTTACTCGCTGATGAAGTAAATTTATTTGTTTATTAAAATTAAGTAGTTTTCAGTTTATTAATTATAAACAAAACTCAATCTTTCCTCTCTCATATCATTGCTTTTCGTAAAAACATATGTGTAATTAAATGGGAAAATATTTTTATATATACTCAATAAACAACAGAAAACTTTTACTACTTAACTTAAAATTTTGTATTAATAACACAAAACGTAAACCTTTATCTAACAAATTATAGATAATGCAAAAAAAACAATCTGTACGCGAGCGCGTACACCGCCCAGAGTGATTATTTATCGTGTTAATTAATCTATTTTGTATTTTGTTGTCTCGTTATTTTTAGTCTTAAGTTAGGCTAGATCGTAATGTTATATTGTGTCTGTGCAGAAACAATGTATTAAAAAAAATATTACATTAATTTCTAGATATTAGCAGATATGGGAACTTATCTACACAAAGCGATACCGGACACAAAACTAACAATTCGGAAGTACGCAGACACAAAATTTGAGTACCTCTCGTACTGTTTGAAGGTTAAAGAAATGGATGATGATGAATATGGCTATAATGCCTTGCAGGAAACACTTTATAGAGTTGAGACTGGAAACTATGAGTATAGGTTTGTGTTTGTTTTGCTAAATTGCTTATTTAGTTTTAACGGATTCTCGATTGGGAAGTAATATATGTTCTTACTCTGCTCTACTAGTAAGGCTAGTTGGCACCACGCCATATTTTTCACAAGTTACCTACTACAAATCGTAACCATTAATCAAATTATACGCATACACACCCATTCACACACTCATGCATTCACGCATATTTAATGTATATGACTTGTGTTTGATTAGTTATAACACTAAAACTAATTTGTTTTAAACATGCATACACCACGGAATAATTGTAATCTCGTTATCCACAACACCTAGGATTAGCGTATTGCGAATATGAATTTAGTATGCAGATTGCCGTGCGGCGACCGCATGTTGCAGTCGGTCTTGACTGCAACATGCGGTCTGTCTATGGCCCGCTTTAGATCAACTTGTCACAACCATATAATTATTATTATTAAAAAAATATATAGTGAAAACAGACGGCGAAGTGTTTCTGTCGTTGAGTTACGTTCTAAAGGGTAAGTTGATCACTTCAAGACTCGCAATATCTCATGTTCTAAATGCTAGAAAATCAGAGATGTTTCATATACGTCATATCATATCTTTCTTGGTTGTACATTAAAATCGTGCTATCTTCACGCAACATTTAGTGCTTTGTGTGATTTAACAAATAAACTGATGATTCACCATTTGCAGATTAATACTCCGTTGTCGTCAAGATGCTAGAACGCGTTTTGCACGTCTCCGTTCAGATGTACTCGTCAAATTAGAGTTATTAGAGAACAAGAAAACTCAAGACGTCGCCTATCAGCTTAAACGGTTCATACAGGGATTGGCTGTCTATCACAAGTACGTAAAAATCTTCGTAGTAAAAAGCTATATAGAGGAGAACAAATTTGTGTGCAGCGCGTTCATCGATTTATTGTCTAATAAATCGATGAACGCGCTTGTCACGTCAAAACTTGCGATTAAAAAAAAAAAATATTAGCTAACGAACTTAGGGACGTTTACAATATATTGGATTTACATTATTTAAAGTTAATTTATTTTCAGTGAAACAGTTGAACATTTAAAAGAAAACGCCAGTCTCTTCCCAGTAGAAGTGGATTTATCGCAAAATGCATTCCAATACAAGTCTACATCGCAATATATTCAGGTAAGGCCTGTTTAGTTTTCAACAGCTGTACCAATTAATATTTCCAAAAACTAAGATACACCATAAAAATTATTGGTTTAATTGAATAATAAACGTTTGTTGTGTTTAATATAAACTTATTTGGTTGTTTATACCAACATTATTTTAATTTTATTATTTATTATTTGCAGGATAGTCAAGAAGATGACGAAGAAATCGAATTTGCAAGGGAATTAAAAGAGTATCATGATTTGTCCGACGAAGAAACTAAAAAAGCGTCAAACAGGCGCCAAAATAGTGACACTGACGCTGATTTGTCGGAACAGCTAATACCTAACTTGACAGAGGCAAAAATTGATAATGACAGAATTGACAGTGACAGTTTGACACTGTTGACGGAACTGGGCCTGGCTGACACAAAGGATGATTTTGGCGAATTTCAGAATGGGTCTATGGACTTTACGAAAAGTACAGATGACGTTTTTGATAAATTATTGAGTGACTTGAACATACATTAATGTTAATATTTGTATAATTATTTTAAATATAATTATGTTATTCCAATTTTAACTATAAACACTTTTTATTTCTTACCTACTTTGTCAATAATAATTGATTAATTAATTGAATAAAACCAAAAAAGTCTTCGCAACGCTTGAGTAGGCCGGAAAAGTTCTGCCTTGCCTGTTTCGTTTTGTGTATTCCTTCATAATTTATATATTAAAACTACTTTGTTACGAAAATATAACTAGGTACACGTTTTAATATTAAAAATCAAGGAAAAAGACACAAAATCGGTATTATTAATTTATTATTACAATCACTTGGGCATATTAACAACAATTGTTTGTACATAAATGAACATTTTAAAACTTTTTACGATCTATTTAATTCAATAGAATATTTTAAAATTAATTTGAAAACGCCGATTACGATTATAAATTACAATTAATAGAAAGAATTTTGACATTAAAAGCTCTAAGGTCCATAATGAGGTATATGATAAGGTATTGGCTTGTGAGGTTCAAAATAGTGCTTCAATCTTTCAATTTGATACGGGTCCACAACAAACGGAGTTTTTCTCGTGTAATGCTCTTTTACATAATGTTTAGCATATGGTTGTATTTTGTGTCCATGCTTGTGTAAGTCAAAATCTGCTGTCAATTTGTGAAGCTTCGAAACAGCTTTTTCTGCAATGTGCTTTATTCCCGATTGTACCTTTTCTGCAACTTTTTCCAAGTGTAAATGAGCTGTTGCTACGTGGAGGATCAAGAGAGATATCTGTAATAAAAAAAAATTATTCAAAAAACTTGAACGGAATTTTTAGTAGAGGAGAGGGATCAAAATACACGCGCTTAGTAAACATCTTAAATATTATCTGTCGTTATTTTTACATAGATAGATTTACAAAACCACCAGGAATTCTTATACAAATTTATAAGAACGATATCCATTGTATTTTTTAATATAATACAGTTATTTAGTTCAATTTAAAAGCGTAATTAATAATATAATTTACTACTAAATTCTCTATTAATTATTATAAAATAAATGAATGGGGACTGTTCAAGTAGGTATTATATAAGCAGATTTACTGCAATTTATCCCCCCTTCCTACAAAAAATTTGTACATAAACGTATTAATTTTTTGTAGGAATCCTCGAAAATGATTCGCTTCAAGCATAGACAATGTGTTGGTAATATGTGTAAAAAGTGCCCACCTATATGGTGCTTTAACGTAGTACTCGAATGGCCCAATAGGTTTACTATTGACATTCCAGCAGAGCAAGGTTCGCCAAAACAGACCGAGCTAAACTGAAAAGGACCTTGAGGTCAACAGCGAGATTCAAATAATAAAATCTCATCGTCTAGACTGTCATATACTTTTGACTTCAAATCGGTGGCGATATCGTAAATGTACTTACAAAAATATAAGCCCTCATGATGCGTGATATCCAATCGTAGGTAGTACACTGCTTCGCGCCAAATCATTCACCCTTCATATAAACTAGGGATCTAGTGTAAATTATTTTATTACAGCCTTATTCTGATGACACGATACCACTGCCCGTCTATATATTAGTATCGTATATCGTAGTTAGTATTAATCGGAGATACAGTATATGGTTTAAATGTAAGTTTTTTTTATACAACAGGGGGCAAAGGGGCAGGAGGCTCACCTGATGTTAAGTGATACCGCCGCCCATGGACACTCTCAATGCCAGAGGGCTCGCAAGTGCGTTGGCCTTTTAAGAATTGGTACGCTCTTATCTTGAAAGACCCTAAGGCAAATTGGTTTTATTATAAATTACCTATGTGCAAACGTGTCCATACTAAGACTGTTACAAGTAAAATACACTTTGTTACCAACACATCCTGAGAAAAACTTATCGTGACTGGTAGAATGGAGTGCGACAGCCCTGTAAGGTCCTTACAGATGTTACCATCACCCAGGTGCAGGGGCTTGCTGATGACAGGGAAGAGTGGAGGAAGTTCTCCAGCGCCACTAGTTCGTGCCTTTTGAAATGAAGAGTGCGCTAATTGTTAGTGTTAGATTTACAAACTAATCCCCGGATATAACTAAGTTTGATTACAAAAACTTAAAAAATCTCTATTTATTCAATAATAATGTATTAATTCACAGCAACAGTGAGCAGTGTTGGCCTAATGGATTCAGCATGCGACTCTCATCCCTGAGGTCGTAGGTTCAATCCCCGGCTGGGCACAAATGGAATTTAATTCTATGTGCGCATTTATAATTCACTCTAACGGTGACGGAAAACATCGTGACGAAACCGGCTTGCCTTAGACCCTGCGACGGCGTGTGTGTGTCTGATTATAAACAAATGATCATGAAATAGATACAGAAATCTGAGGCCCAAACCTAAAACAGTTGTAGCGCCACTGGTTTATATTATTATTAATTCAAAGCGTAAACACGATTTGGCAGAACAAATCATTTTACAACAGCATAGTATCACGAGAATAAGGCCTCAAGGGAAAGTCTCGATCGAAATTCAACTCGCAAGGCTGGTGTTGTTTTTCGCATCCTAATCATTAACTTATTATTTTACTCAAACTTCCACAAGATGAATGACTCTTATTACATGGTAATACGGTCTACAAATGACGTTGATAATTGCATAACAATGATGTATACGGATGCTTATGAAGTAATCAGTTTTATAATCGATACAAAATAAATGATTGAAAATTTTGACTATCCTGCTTTATAACATTGATCCTGGTTTAGTTTCTCGTGTCTTGACAGACTTGTCAGACTCTCAGTGACAGTGTTTTTGAAGTTTACTTCTTTTGGCGCGTTAGGGAAAAATTATGAGAGTAAATTTTTACGATGCGCGCGCACACCGTCACAAAATACCGACACCCGCATACCGTTACAAAAAACCGATACCCGCACACCGTCACAAAAACCGACACTTTTGGCGCGTTAGGGAAAAACGATGAGAGTAATTTTCTATTGTTAGTGTCGTTTTTTCTACAAACATAGAATAAAAATTTCGAAAAGATTTTTATCTTGTTACGCCAAAGAAGTATAACTTCTAACATAAGTACACACACGTTTTTTTTATAGGACCCCTAAATTGTAGCCTCAAGGACATCTGTGGCCGAGCAGCTAGGCAGCAGGAGAGTGTCAAATCTCCCCTTTTGTAAGGGACTTTATTTCCTAAAAAGGCTCGGGGAGACGCCAACTACTCCGGAAATATCCTCATGATATTTAAGAGCGAATCGACCGACCCGCGTCACCTCTTGTGATATTTTGCTTAGTGAAATATTTAACAATTTTATACCAGAATTTTTCTAGCTGCGATCTCTGCTCAAGCTACATGTCATGTCATGGTGCCAGTCTCAAGCCCCAGAGCCACCAGATCGCAACCTGCCTCTTTCGAAAGTCGGACAAGTAATTGACCCACCGTAATAGCTTTTTTTATCATTAATTTCGGTTAGATTCAATAACATAAAATACGCGTGTCTTGCGCACCCTAAACACTATTGCTTGTGAGACGGATATATTTATTAGCACACTGGCTGGATTCACAAGAAATTGTGTTTTTAAAGTTTTTACTTGTTATGTTTTTAGTAGTTTGCTATTGTATTAAGTTACTGTAAAAATAGGAGATAACAAAAAAAAGGGTGCCTGTACTTATGTACGCGCGTAAGAAGTTATATTTCTTTGGCATTATTAAAAATAGTTTTTGATTGCATGCAAATAATTAATTACAATTAAATAATCAAAGACTGGAAAAGGAGTCATTATAGTCAATAAACTTCAGTTTACATTTGATTATTATTAATGATGATGATGATAAATAAATAAATATTTATTATTGTTATCTTACATTAAGTGTAACATAAATTCTATTGTTATTCGAATGTTGTTTTTAAATTATGCCCAATGCCGTAGCATCTTCCGTGGGCAACTTCATTCTGTTAATTATGTCACGGTGCGCGCCAATCGTAAAATTTCACTCTCATCAATTTTTCATAACGCGCCTAAAGAAGTATAACTTCAATAAATAAATATTATTTTTCATTAATATTTATTTATTTTTCTTATTTCTTTACAGTAGAATGGTGTTTTAGAATATACGGCATTAATAGACTTGTTTATGCTCGTAGTATCTGAAGTATTTCATTGTGTAAGCCATTACTGTAATTAATTTTATCCTGACCTACATCTGACGATAATGATAGGATAAAACATCCTCAGAAATGAAACCGTGATTTAATCAAACAGGAAGTAAATTAGCCGTAATTAATTCAATAAATATTTTTTGTAGTTATATTTAGAAACTAGCATTGTGATTCATGTGACTCTTAATATTAGCTTTTAGTTTTGTTATTGTGTAAGTCTTCATTGATGTCTGTAATTTTAAAAAAAAGTCGAGTTCGATCGCATTCGTCTAAATTAGAGTGGTCCCTTTATCGTCGCCGGTTTCCTCACGATGTTTTCCTTCACCGTTTGGGCGAATGTTAAAAGCGCACATAAAAATAAAGTACATTGGTGCACAGCCGGGGATCGAACCTACAACAACGCAGCCACTAGGCCAACACTGCTCTTTTTTATATATTTACTGCATTTTATTTTTAATTGGTCTTTATTTCTTGATGTAAACTTACTTGAAACTAACAGCCATAAACTGATGTCAATCTGTTTTGTTAGTGTCTTTGTCAATGTATCAAATGTAACCAACACAAATTTTACTGTTAATTTTAGCTTATTAAAACCTTATATTCATTAAAGGTTTTCTCTTATGCCTGTACAAATCGTCCATGTTCGGTTCTAAGGATCAGATTCAGAATCGAGACAGCCCAAACTATGACTTTGTCAAAATCCAATTATTATTTATGGAGGTCATTTTAGTGCTAAATTTGGACCCAATATAATCCAATTCCCTCACAATGTTTGCCTTGAACGGAGAAGCAGGTTGGGCACAAAGATATGCCATTTTTATTCACTCAATTAAATTCCTACAAACAATTTAACGCTTCCTTTAGGAAGCTTCCCTTGACTTAAGAACTGGCAGAAAATGTAAAATTAGAAGAATTTCATATGTATATATTTTTTCTTTTTTTTGACGTTCATAAGTGTACATTGTGTTACCTATATGATAAATGATTTTGACTTCTCTTGACTTGAGTACACATTGTTATAAGATACAAATATACAATTAAATACAGTAACAGCGCCATCTACCGATTTGACACACACTGGATTCAATAAAACACAATTTGATTTAAATAAAGTATATTGAACATAATTATAGCGTAAGAAATAATTACATACTTGGGACTAATTTATTTATAAATAAATAAGGCTGATACAAAGTTCCAATTACTATTCGTTTTAACACTTTCAGCTGTTTCAAATTCCATTTTCAAAACTTTTCATATTTTTACATTCCATTTTCAAAATTATTGTTCATTCCAATTCACGACAGTAAATTTACATTATAAAAACGCTATCAATATTTGACCTAAAAACAAAGGCTGTGCGAGCCTTTTTTATAAAAGAGAAAAACTTTAACTCCTTAGAAAAACTTATTACTCCCTTATTCATAAATACTCAATCATGCACTCTTTCAACGTACTCTATTGTCTCTTTCTGTCAAACTGTGAATACGCTGCGTTGGAAAGAAACAGAGTACTTTTGTATAGCAGGTAATCGACTGTATTTTAATGAATAAGGTGCTTTGGACACTTTAGATCTGTTATGTTTTTAATGTGTGTAATGGATTTTTAAAGATTTTTTTTTTATTATCTCGTATTGCCGGATAAACTGATGTGCAACAGTATTAAGACTGAGTTAGCTATTATGGTTAGATTTTACTAAAATAGTAGATCGATAATACGCACATATAGTTAAAATATTTTGACCAGAATTTTTTAATGTTTGATAAATAAATTTGAAAAATTGTACACAAATTCGTTAAATCTTAATTAAAAGTAAAACAAAAGTTAAAAAAATATTTTATTATTAATAATTCTTAACGACAAACAATAATGTACAAACCCTACTCAACATTATGCATAGAATACAGGTATTTTTATTTTTTAGTTGCCTTGGCAACCGGAATCCATTTCAAACGGACTATAGATAATTGAGACGCAACCAATACTTTTTGAAAACACTAATTATTTATAGAAAACACCAGCTTTCAAAGGAAAATTTCTTTCTCTAAATCGGCTGAATAAATTTTCATGCAATTTTTCAGAGCTAATAAAAATTTATTTTTCAATATCATGAATTCCAAATTTAAAAAATCATCACAAATGTTTTCGACAACTTAGCCGCTTCCTTAGAGCTTAAGTCACGTAATAACCAGGCTATAGGTTCATTTTCCGGCAAAATATTCGATTCGTTACGCACACTTACTTGCCATAAAAATAATCACATAGATGCAGTATACATCTGCCCCATGCGTATTTCATAACAAATCAATTAAAAAAAAACTTGGGCTGTCAAAATATACAGCGAATTTGACATCTCGAACTGTCAAAATCTAAAGATAAACTTATTACTTAGTCTGTGTTAGCTTTATTAAAAACACCTAAACCTATAATCTATGTATATCATTGAGAAATAAGCAATTATGAAGTACAAAACTAAATTTACAGTTAATTGAACACTTATTTATTCTGTACGACATAATTGTTAGAAGCTATTATCCTATGCATATATATATCACAAGCGTTATTAACGTTTTATGTAGCCCAGGACTGCAACATTGCAAACTCTTTGTCGTCTTCTGAAAAATAAATTAATTGTACCCTTTATCGCTTTACTTTGAAGTAATAAAAATGGACTGGAAAATAGAAATGTGGACTGTTTCCTACGTTGGAATCAACCTGATGAAATGTATTATGATTATGATATTTAATTTTTGAGAACTTTGAGGACACACATACTACTCACATGCTTGGAAACCTAAATAGATCATCACATGTTATCCAATTCTTATTCTATTTGGTTTATGAAAGATAATAAACAACACTTGGGATTTCCCAATCATTAACCATTGAATAAAAATAATTTATGGCTGTATAGACATTGACATAAAAGAAAATTTTGTGTTAGTTATTGTAATTTTGTCACATCTAACGTCTAATATCAAGAAGAAATCAAGAAATATTTTATTTCTCCTACCACAGTTTGAAACAACTGAGAAATTAAAGTATGTTTAACTTTGACTAACCAGTTTCCCTAGATTTGCTGGGTTTGGGTTTATCGGCCAACTCATTGTCGGGTACTTCAGGCAGGTTGTCAGCTGGGACACTGATACCGATCATTTCCTTGTCTAGCTCCTCCTGTAAAATATTTAAAAAGATATTAAACGTTAATAGAAAGGACTACTAATCAATTATAATAGAAGGGAGTAAAAGTTCATGAAATCAGGATACAAGTTTATGTATAATATAACCTTTCTCCATACTAGTTTAACTGGGTACAGCAAAAAGGCCTCAGGCAAAACCCATATTAAATTTAATCATATATATAATAGACATCAGAAAACGAATTCTAGGCAAACAATCAGTCTAGGGAGTAAGGTTCAAAACCTGGATGCACCTAACGTAAAGTTTTAAATTATACCTGTTCCAACTCTTCTAACTCCTTCTCCAACTCGTCCTCATCAATGTCGTTGGGGAAGGCCACATTGCTACTGATAGCTTCCGTGATCTCACGTGATATGTCGTGTTGCTCAGCAATATCATCCATTATATCGTGCACCTTGTCTACATCACTGGAATAAAATTAAAATACTATATAAATATTGTTTTTAAATATAATTATTAAATATCTTACACAGAATAGAATGAATAGCCCTTGCTACTAGATTTCATATTACATTGACCTGCAACTCTTGGGTGATTAATGTATGACTACTTCCTGATAAGTCTCGAATCGGGACCTTACCTTACATTTGAATACAATATTTTGTTATACAACAAGTTTTATAATATTAATAAGTGCCTTATCCTTATATTTCTGTAACTATAAAACAATCAAGAATATGATACAACACAAAACATTTTGTCAACAGAGGGGACCAACACACAGGACTCTTTTAGCTCTCTCTACTTATTTCTAGTAGTAAGTTTATAACACAAACATGATTTTTCTAGAAAAATTATTAGGTGACATGTTTGTGTGGAAACAACTATTGGCAATAATATATAAATAGATGTAAGTTATGTATATAGTATATATGAATCTACAAATCTCCAATACAGTGTAAACTCTTTATAACGTCATTTGTTATAACGCAAAAATGAGTTAAATTTGTTCGGTTTAACACAAACATATATATATATTAATTCCCTCTTTACAATGCAACAGCCATTCTCTATTACGAAGAAATATTTTCATATTTAGACATCAACAACACTACTTAAGTGTAATTGTTTTCATTATCAGCTTACAAAACTAACCTATTTGAGGTGCCGAAATTTCTATGAAAGACACCTGAGATCATAAACAGCCGCAGTAAAAGTACTTTTAATATGAATTATGAAACATTCAACAGAAGAATGAAGATGAATTCAATCATCTTTATTTCTTAATTACTTACATATCTTTGTGAGCCAGCTTCATAGCATTAGCAGCATCTCTCATTGTATTCAATACTTGAGCATTGGTTGTAGCACCTTCCAAGGCCTCCCTCTGAGCCTCAATTTGTGTAAGAGTTCCATCAATTTGAATAAGTTGCTTTTCATAACGCTTTTTACGTTTTAAAGCAGCAATTGCAGCTAAAAAAAGTGAACACTATAAATTTAAAAGTAGTTTTGCAATTTTTTCTCTAGCCTACGTAGTTTTGAAATTGTGTTTGGAGAGAGCTAATTTTAAAATATGATATATTTGCCTAAGGCATACATAAACATTATTAACAGTGTTTTGGCCTTAAGGTATTGCATTTTATTTGATTGTGTTCAGTCGTAACTTGGAAGTAAAAGTAACACACACAAAATTATTTACATTTTGATAGTAAGAATGCAAAGAGGTCTAAAACTATTGATTAAATACTACAAAACAAAGATAATACATTTATAATATGTATTATGCATGAGTCATTCTGTAAGTATTGCAATAGGTATGAAAGTTAAAATTATTGCAATTCTTGCTAGCATTATTCAATGAATAATATATTAACAAACCAGCAACTTATAGTTTAAAAGGTACAAAAGAATGAGTTTATGCTAAAATTGTGAATCTCTAAGACAAAATAAATATTCAATAAGAATAAGTATATAATATAATAGTTCAACCTTCAGAGAACTTAAAAAGTAGATCACCAATTTACCTCTTTTATTCTTAGTCCCATTTTTCTTAGCAACTTGTATCTCAGTTTCGACTTTCTTTTCTAGAAACTCCGACTTTTTGATCAGCAGCTCCTCTGTTTCTCGTAATTTTTGGATCGCTTCATGGGTCGTTGGCCCTTTTTCCTCTTTCTTTCCTCCAAAGAGTTTCCCCAAGAAACTCATGATATTTAATTTTTGATATTGAAATTAGTTTTTAATCACAGAATAACAATTATTTATTGCGTAGAAGAGAAAAAATTGCATAAAAGTAAAGGAATCACTTTTGTGTATGAATGCGTCATCCAATATCCATTATCCACAGATTAGTAAGAAATAAGAATTATGTAAAAATAAATAATTATAGTACCACTACCAGCTGATAGTAAATACATATTATATAATAGATATAAAAAAATAGAATTTACTAATAAGTTTGAGCTTAGAAGTAAATTAGTCACTTAAGTAAATTAGAGTTAGTTAGCCACGATAGTGACCAAACTGTCAACAGTAGGTGTGTAGATTTCCCTTAATCGTTTCTTTTCATTCTATTAGAATAGATTAAAGTACCCTTCGGGTCACGGCTCTACTATCCGCTGTCCACTTGTTGGTAACAGGCTAAAATAAATTAATTCAGGCTATTAAACAAACATAGGCTATTAAAATAAGCTTTCCCTTAGGCCATAAAGTATGAAGTATCTATTCTATTTGGCCCGTAAAATATTGATCTTAATAGTCTGTGACAGTTACTTATAAAAAAAAACAACATTTAAATTCCCCTAACTCCTAAGTATTGAATGAATTGAATCACTCCGGCTGATATTATTTTACAAAATTTTCACGTTGCTATTATCAATTTGAATTCTAATTTTGGTAAAGATAATAGAGAATTTTAAAAATGGTGCGTATCATAAGCCAGGACACATATGATGAAGTAGTTCGTGAAAATATTGATGAATTTGATATGAGTCCTGAAGAAGCAATAAAAGAAGCTATTACACAGTTTGAAGCACAGGTATATTTGTATTCTGATTTAAAAAAACTATTACTTTAGAACAGTTATCACTACCAACTCTTAAATAGTCTTTAGCCTCACGCGCAACTTATAAAATCTTATTTAAACAGTCAAACCTAACACATTGGAAGTTAATTTTGAAATAAAATTAACTTAATGAAACAAATAAAATTAACTTTTTAAATCATTATTGCTTTAAGAGTTATTGTTAGAAAACTTTAGAACATTTAATTTATTACGGGTTCAATATTTTTTCCAGGGTGTTGATCTATCAAACATAATAAAAGATCTTTCCTTGGGATCTGGTGATAACCACTTGGTTAGCACAACTGTGGAAAAATTAAGAGAAATCTCTAATGGTAATGAAGAAGAATTACTTAAAGAACTAGAAGTTTTAACAGTAAGTACAGGATAAGGTGTGCTAATTAATAGACAAATAAAATAAATCTGCATTTATATTATTATTATATTTCAAGAAAGAGCCTTCTGGTAGTGTTAGTTAATAGATGGCAGTATTACTTAACATCAGATAAGCCTTCGCATTTTCCCTCCGTTCTATTAAATAAAAACGTAAAAATACTATTGCTATGTATGATGGAGCTTTTGTTGGTGAAGATTTTTTTGACAAAAATTTGTATAACTATTCTGTACTATTTAGTAACTGTTCCATTAAAATAATAGAGAGAGAGAGTCAAAATATATAATTCTTTTCCAGAATGAATGCAAAAAAGACTTAGCCCACCGAGTCAGAGCAGGAAAAGATGGAGCATATAACATTCTTTTAAGTATCCTAGAGAGCTCTTACTCACAGGATAATCAGAGACTGATGACAAAAGTGTTGTATGGTTTAATAGCACTGATGGATGGACAGCCAGATTTATTGGACTCTAAGGGAGCAGATTTAATGAAAAGGTATGATTTGCTCTCTATCATATCATAATTATTTATAAAAAAAAACTAAGTCAATCCAGTTTAGTTCCCTTCAGATTCTTTGATAAAAGTCTTTATGACTAGTTAGTCAAGAACATGTATGATTTTGATATACACTATCCATAGAGAGTGCTATCTATGTCTTGTCTCTGAACCCTTAGACTGCTAGCACAACAGTGAAGTTTAATAATGGGATACTACATAAATTTCTAGTGTTGAATAATTTTTGTTCCCTAGAAACATTCTTTAAAATACTCGAACACTTGTGACATTGTTCTATAGTAAATGACTATCTTTTTGATGTATCTATTTTGTTTTCCTGTATTATAAATAAATTAAATCAAGTTATTTCACACTATTGGAATATCAGGAAAGAAAACTGACAAAGATATTAAGTATCAAGATGATTACCATCAAACTAATCATGTTAACATAACAAAAATGGTAATTTAGCAGTGCAGTTTCCTTAAATCCCACAACGGTTCTCACTCCGTCTATCATAGTCTTTCACTCTATCTTAAATGTGATCAAATATTCATGAAAATCACTTTATTTAATAGGATATTGAATAATACAAAGAATGACGATATTCTACTAGCAAACCTGAAATGGATCAATGTCTGTTGCTTGAAACATGAGATGAACAGACAAAGGATTTTTGCACTTAACATAATAGATAAGTTAAAGTCACTTTTAAAAGTACAAGGAAATACAAAGGTAAGAATTGCAATAATTGATATTTGAAATACATTTTAAAATCTCATTTATTGTATATTGTGTTATGAATTAGGGTTGGTTATAAAGATTCTCAGTACTAGCAAGATGCGTGGATTATATTTTTTTTTGTTTTTTGCTATGAAATTTTATACAGGAGAAAATATTTTCACACCAAAAATATGGTAATGGTACTAATATGTGAATTTGAAGAAAGTAAAGCTACACATGCACTTTATAAATTATTCTTTAAGATATGTTCAATATGTGACAAGTTCAAAATCTAACAGTAAAAATGATACATTTCTGTATTTAATTTATAAATTTAATACTTGTATTAGTCGTTTTGTTCCAATTCTTTACATAACACATACATTACATATACTCCGTGAAAAATATAAAAAGCCGTAAATTTATTAAAGAAAAAGTATTTTATACATTTTCCAGCTTTTAAGTGAAACACTACAAGTTATTCGGCGTTTAACTTTGGACGATGATATCCGCATGGCATTTGGCAAAGCACACGAACACGCAAGGGAATTGGGCATATACCTATTGGAAACTCTTACGAACTTACTTGCTGGTAAGAATAGTAGGGTTAAAATTAATTGTAGCTATGAAAACAAAAAATATATCTTCTACTTCTTTAATAATACTTTAAATATAATGATAAACGAAAATAGTAATTTTGGCGCTACAATACCATAGATACAATTCTCATCCAAGGGGCACAGATTATACATAATAAAAAAATGTTAGTACTACGGTGGAAACACAATCTCATCACATCTTTTTTCTGTCTACCAGGACGTCCAAAGTATTTATTATGTTTTATGGTATATTGTATTACATACAGGGTGACCCAAAATAGAGTGTCAATCGGTAGTCCAGAGATAGAGCACCCTTAGAGGAACCCGAATTATTTTATTTTAATTTCTAAGGATTAATGTCTTACAGAGAATACAAAACCACCATTAGTATCAGAATTGATGCTCACAATAGCAACACTGCTAGTTAGAAATGAGCTTTGTGCCAAAGTAGCAGAGTCTGGCAACAATGTTTTATTTACCGTATTGGCGGATAATTATGACAATGCTACCGTTATACATCAGGCTAATAAACTGTAAGTATAATTATTTCTAGAATAATTTGTAGGAATAAGTTTGTGTGAATATGACCACTATTTAAGCCTTGACTTGATTAAGCTACCGCGGAATTTTAAAAGGAGTAGTAAGAATATCATCATCAGCACCACACACACTCACACACCACACAACACAGCCGTATTAGGTACCTACTTAGTTAAATGTATTAAATAATTTTTATTGATTTTTTTCCTTTCGTAAATGTTTGAACCTTTTTGCTAATATTATATATTCCATATTTGGCTATGTGTTTAGTATAATTGTTTTTTTTTAGTTTAATACAATTTATATTAGCTGTAGGATTACGAAATAAATAAATAGGTGTAATAACTTCTAATTCGTGAAAATTGTATTGTTAAATTTTATATATAGCATTTATATATGTATCTTGTATCTGTAAACCGTGCAAATCTACTTATATCATTAGATAATCTGTCTATGAGTAAAATATTTGATACAATTAAAATCCACAAAGCTTTTCAGCGGATTGATAATGTGATCTCAAAAACAGACACCGCTGATCGTCTATATAAACTGTCTTTTTCTTAACAATAATTTCATTTTCCAACATCGATCTCTCGTGTATTAACTTCGCTCTTAATTTCTCAGTTTCCAAACTACGTGTTTGCAACAAACTCATACTGTTGTTCAAATCTCTCACTTCATCGATTAATCCTATGAGCGACCCTTCGCGGCAATTCTCTACGTTCGGCCGGCAATTCTTCACGTTCAGCCTCGTTTGGGCCACTTGAATTCTTTGTGTTACCTTCAAAATTTCCTCATGCAACGTCTCCATAATATTTTCAGTTTCAACAATTTTCTGCAACGTCAATTTCAACTGATTTTCTAGTTCGATCCTAACTTGATCCGTACGGGCGATTCGCTCGCTCAACGCTTTATTAACTGCTATATCATGTGTACGTAGATCGCGTGATGAATTTATCAATGCGGCATCTACTCTTTGCCGCAACGCTTTAGACTTGTCAATAGCGATTTTAAATTGGTTTAGTGCGTTTATCGTGTATTGTTCCCATAACTGTACGTCCGATTGTCCATCCGATAGCCTCGTAGCGCCAGCTGAGTCTTTGACATTAACGGATTTTGTTGCTAGATCGGAATTATGTGCTTCATACTTGAATGCCAGAAACTTATCGCTCCAGTCGCGTTCTAGAGAGTTCTTCGCTGCTACGTTCATTTTGATTTGACTCTCCATCTCATTTAGCATGTCGCGGTGAAGTTGTTTGATGTTTTGTATTAAAACAGACTCCTTAAACAACGCGTCTTGTGGTTCATCGTACACCGTATCCGACTGCATTCTATTGCGTCTTAAATTCAAGCATTCTTCTGTAATATATTCTGGAATTTTTAATATATCCATGGCGTTTTTCAGTTGTTGTCTCTGAGATTCTATGACACTTAATTCTGCATCGATATCTCGTATAGCTCTTTCTAATTCGGATTTCCAATAGTTAATGTGTCTAGTTCGATGTTTTAATTGATCAGTGCTATCGCTGAAATCGTTGCACGATGTTTGGTTGACCTTTACGATGCAATTTTTCGTAATTGATGTGTTATTGTCCGTTACGCCGATAATATCTCCTTTTAGCACATGGTTGTTGTGATTAAGCCAGTGATTGATTGTGGTTAATCCGATATTTCTGTCTCCGAAAGAGAGTTGGTCTCCGTTAGTTGGCACAGCCATTGTGTTTACTATTTTCTTAAATGAAACAGTATATACAAAAGAACGTTACAAGGTTGTTATGTTGTCTTGGTTACTAACTTATTGACTTAACAACTCTTAACTTGATAACGATAAAAAATCTAACCCCTATCATATGTATAATAGACAGATTAAACTCTAATCGAATTTCAATTGCTAAAGCGCAATCAAATTAAGGAAATTTAACATATTCCTATAAATTAAATATTGCAAATTAAAATATCTACTTAATGAAGGTTTGTAACCTAACATTAGTTAAGTAACATATATATATATTATATTTTAGTTAATTATTAGAAGCTTAAACAAAATGTATACAATCATCGTACACCTGAAGCCACAAGCGTAGTTGTTTCCACACTCATAAATTGTAATTTAACATTCTCGTTTCCGATAATGTCCAATAACATAAGTCTCATTTAGATTTACGAACTCTTCAATAAGTCAAGTTAGTTTTTGTTAGCGTCGCAACCCTACCCCTAATTTTATGTTAGTTATAAGCTCATATTTTAAACGATTAAAGCCAGTTGACACCCAGCTTCAAACGAAGTGTTTAATTTAACATATATCTGAACATAATCTACAATAACCGCTCGCGAATTTAACTATCGTCAGTATGAATAAGTACTGAATTAACCTTTTGGTCTCAGGATAACAGCGTTAGCCGGCAATGACGATGTGAAAAGGCAGTTAGTTAATAGTGGAATAATACCGATTATTGTATCAGTTCTTGCTAGACATTGCGTAAGTATTACTGGCCTTTGAATTCATTCATAATTACGGTAAGATTCTTTATACAATCATGTTAATTAAAAAAAAACAAGTTCTACAATATAATTTTTCTACTCTCACAAATTTTATATAACCAATATTTAACAATAGAGGAGTGTTAGCCTAGTGGTTTAAGAGTGCGACTCTCATCCCTGAGGTCGTAGGTTCGATCCCTGGCTGCGCACCTATAGACTTTCTTTCTATGTGCGTATTTAACATTCGCTCGAACGGTGAAGAAAAACATCGTAATCATATCAGTTGTTCCTATGTTTGTGTCATATTAATTTAAATCTAGAACTGTATTTTCTAGATACTGCTGTTTTATTAAGACATTTAAATAAATTATTAAGTTAGCCTGCATGACTTCAAATTATTCCCCTTATAATGGTTAATTTATTTTTACTGGCAATACTAATATCCATGACAGCGACGCTCTTACCGGCCAAGAAAAGTATGTGGCACTGTAATCCGTTTAGGTTTAGTGTATATAGCAAATATATATAGCAAAGTACTTTAATGCGATACAATAATCGACGGCTCATTGGTCTAGTGGTTAGTACCCCTGACTGCGAATCCATGCGTCCCGGGTTCGATCCCAGGCTGAGACATACATCGATGTGATGAGCATTTGTTGTTGTGCTTAGGTTTTGGGTTTAAATAATCAAAGACTGGAAAAGGAGTCATTATAGTCAATAAAGTTCAGTTTACATTTGAAAAATTAAATAAATTAATATTTATTTATTCTCTTACATTAGTGTAACATAAATTCTATTATTATTCGAATGTTGTTTTTAAATTATGTCCAATGCCGTAGCATCTTCCGTGGGCAACTTCATTCTGTTAATTTTGTGTCACGGTGCGCGCGCATCGTAAAATTTCACTCATCAATTTTACATAACGCGCCTAAAGAAGTATAACTTCAAAAACCGTACCGTAGTCTGTAAGAAAAATTAATGTACAAAGAAATCAGCAAAATCATAAAAAAATGTGATAATTAATTTTTATTCTCAGAATAACCCGACATCAGCAGCTTTGACATTAAAATGCATCGCGGCACTGGCCCTAAGAGAACCGGAACACAGTAGACAATTTATTGAAACTGGAGCCGCGGAAGCTATCACAGAGAGTTTGAAGATCCATCAAACGCAACCACAAGTACAGGTAATAAGTCAATATACTTTTGCAAGTACACATTAAAAAAATATATAAACGTGTCTATACTCAGTTACAGTCTATAACAGCTATAATTTTTTGACATGTCAGAGATGGCAAACCTTTTTGACCGGGCACATTTTTCAATTTTAATACGAGTCTGAACATCTGAGTCTATACATACATTTTATTTGTTAGTGAATGCATCCTTTTTATTAAGTGCGGTGCTCAATATTAAGTGGTTTAACGGCGAGTGATAATAACGTCGCTTTTCATCACAAACAGTAAAAAACGCACAAGTAAAGATAACATTTTATTTTTTAAAAAGGTTTACTAAACCTGGAAGTTAATTCGATATATTGTTCGTGATATTGAAATATTTGTTATTTTTGTATTAGGTCACCTGAGTAAGTAAATATTTAGATTTACCTTTTTGTAGGTAATTTTTTATTCGCCTCAAATGGGTCAAATTTGTCCCTTTTTCGGTGGAGAACTTTAGTAGCAACATTTATGAAATGTCAGAATTCTACATTCTTGGCAAATGATCATGAATCAGATACAGAAATCTGAGGCCCAGACCTAAAAGTGTTGTAGCGCCACTGATTTATTTATTTTAGAGATAAACTGAACCTTTTGAGTTAATAAACCTAGTGTAGTAAATATAAGTGCAAATGCTATATCTCGAACACATGAATATAGTGTCAAAATATTATATAGAACACTAAGACTGTTAATGAACATTACCTTAGTTTAAGTTATTCATTAGTATTGTAGAAAATTAAATCAAAATAATATTACTTATTAGCCATAATTATTGTATAGGCTAGATTGTAATTCATGTAGTCACACCCTCTTTTGTGCTTTTCCTTCTCTCACTGAAAACGATAGCTGCAATAATAATGTAAATATTTTTGTATAATAATTATTCTCGATGTAAGAGGCCGGCAACGCACTCGCGAACCCTCTGGCTTTGAATGTGTCCATAGGCGGCGGTATTACTTAACATAAGGTGAGCCTCCTGTCCGTTTAGCCCCTGTTCAATAAAATACTAAACTAAATTTACTAAAACGGATTAATATACAATTTATAAAAAAAAACACAAATATGTATATGTAGTAAAGAGATAGTAAAAATGTTTTTTGGAACGAAGTTCCTTATCGCGCGTTGTGAAAGGGGGGCTAGACGGAAAAAAATCTTACGTAAAGTTGTCACGACACTTTTTTGCTATTTGCTATTGTAATACACCCGTTCTCGTCCGATCACCGAAGTTAAGCAACGTCGGGCGAGGTCAGTACTTGGATGGGTGACCGCCTGGGAACACCTCGTGATGTTGGCTTTTTTTTCGTCGTAAGATTGGTGTCGAGAAAATCTATCATACTGTTATGATACCAATTAACATATAAATTAATCGAAAGGAATTTCGTTCCATCCGGGTGTCCCTTGACACCTCTAAAGTTTTTTTTTTTTTTAGAAAAACGGATGCTGGGCAATACGCAACATAGTAGCTCGTTGTCGGGATTTAAACACAAAGTTTCACGAACTGGGAATCGAATCTATACTCAGTCGTTCCTATGAACTATTCGAGAAGGACTTTGGTTTTGATATCAAATCGGCTTTACGAGATTTGGAGTGCGATATTAAATTAGACGAACAGTGGACTGGAAAGGGAATTCACTTGGAAGATTAGCGTCTTGAGGGCGAATCCAGTGGAATCACTTATTTGATTCCGCTATTTACAGATTATGTATAAAAACCATCAACGTGAACAATGACGCAAAAGCCTTCGAGGCGTTTAAAACATTTATTTATATTGCACAATAATATGTATGCTTTAATAACATTTTTATTTAATTAAACGAAAGTTAATGTCTTTTCATTTTTGATGCCCAAATCGACACCCTTAAGAAGTTTGCTGCAGAGAAAGGTCTCCGTGTCGTGGTCGTATGTCCCATTAAAAATAGTGTTTTAGTTGATCTACTTATTCAACAAAAGTCCCACGAAATTTAGTTTTTATCAAAGTTTCAAAGTCAAAGTCAAATCATTTATTTCAATTAGACCATCTAAAATGGCACTTTTGAACGTCAAAAAAATACAAAGAAGATTCTAGTTGCCCCTTCCAAAAGGTAGTATCGTGTGGAGAAGAATGGGCAAGAAACTCCACACTAACTCTTTTAAAATAGGTTTACAATATTTTGTTACATTTGTTAAATAATTATATGTGAAGACAATGTACTCTTAGAATAAACTACTATACTAAAAAAGTTAGTATACATGTTCCTCACATATTTACAAATATCGAAACCGTAGAATATTAACATTAAAGAGTAATAAAAATATTAAAAAAACACAACAAAACAGTGTGTGAGATACAATAAAATAATTACATTTGTAGCATTATAAATAAAAAAAAAGAAATAACAAAAATATGTTAAAGCAAAAAATCAGCAACCAATTTGATTTTGTCCAGGCTCTATGATTGTCCTATGGAGCAGGACCAGCATGTTTCCAAGCATTCTTATCTTGAATATAATCATCTAATTTGTAATATGCTTGTTTACAAAGTGTACTTTTAATAAAACATTTAAATTTTCGTTCATTTAGTTTTAAAATGTCACCAGGTATTTTATTGTAACATTTCACACAGTACCCCATAAATGAATTTTGAACTTTGGCTAATCGGAAAGATGGTTGAGCTATTTTATCTTTATTTCTAGTACTAAAATTATGTCTTTCATTTATTTTACTAAAAAGATGTAGATTCTTTCTTACATACATAATATTTTCATAAATGAATTGGTTAGGTACTGTCATAATATTAATCTTTTTAAATAGTTCCCTGAGAGATTCGCAACGACGTAGATTATAAATGGCTCTGACCGCTCTCTTTTGCAAAATAAAAATGGATTCTATGTCAGCAGCCCGACCCCACAGTAAAATGCCGTAAGACATTATGCTGTGAAAGTAGCTAAAATAGACCAAACGCGCAGTTTCTACATTTGTTAAATATCTTATCTTTCTAACCGCATAAACGGCTGAGCTCAGCCGCCCCGCAAGAGATGTGATATGAGGTCCCCATTGTAACTTCTCGTCTAGCGTGATGCCTAGGAAAACCGTTTGATTAATAAATTCCAGTTTTCCTTCATTCAACATGATGTCACATTCCCTACTTTTAACATTTGGCAACGTAAATCTAATACATTTAGTTTTTTATCATTCAGTGCCAAATTGTTTACCGTAAACCAATTTTGGACCCGAAGAATAGAGTTATTCACGTCGTCACGATTTTGTGACCATCGATCTACTTTAAAAATCAATGATGTGTCATCTGCAAATAACACCATCTTCAGTTTGTTCTGAACTAATTGGGGTAAATCATTTATGTATACTAAAAAGAGGAATGGACCCAATATTGAACCTTGAGGAACGCCCATTGTAATTTATGCCGTTAACCTGAACTTTAACCTGTCTGTCTTTCAAGTAAGATCTTTAGTAAGTCCAGAGCTTTGTTCTTAATCCCGTAGTGATTAAGTTTCAGCAGAAGAGTCTCATGGTTTACGCAATCGAACGCCTTCGAAATGTCGCAAAAAGATTCCAATGGCATCTTGTGCTTCCTCCCAGGCGTTAAAATTGTTCTTCATTAGGGAGACACCGGCGTCAGTTGTACAACGCCCTTTGGTGAAACCGTACTGTTGTTCATGAAAGATGGAGTTTTTATTAAAGTGACGTAACATTTGATTAAGCATTAACTTTTCAAACACCTTACTAAGTGTTGGCAGAATTGACACAGGTCTATAATTATTAAGTTCTTTACTATCACCGGATTTGAACAACGGAACTAATTTACTGTGTTTCATGAGATCCGGAAAGGCTCCTTGGTCTATGCTGGTGTTAAATATGAAAGCTAAATAAGGCGCAATAGTTTCGATGATAGAACTACAGACTTTTACAGACAATCCCCAAAGATCTTCTGTAGATTTAATTTTAAGATCTTTAAAAGCTTTTATAACAGCCTGGGGGTTTGTATATTGAAATCGAAACTCCGTAGGGCATGCCCTTACATTCTTCGTAAGTAACGCAAAAGAAAGTGCAGATGATGAATATATTGATAAAAAAGTTTTCAAATCCCTGAGCTATTTCTGCATTTGAGTTTATTGGGCCATGTGCAGTCTCTAAGTTAAATTCAGTATTACGCTGTTTTTTTCTACCAGTTTCATTATTTATTATTTGCCAGGTAGTTTTTATTTTGTCATCCGCTGATTTTATTTTATTACTTATATAAAGTGCTTTAGCAATTTTGCACACACTTTTAAAAGTTTTTGAATATTTCGCAATATGCTGATGAAAGTTTGTATTTTTTACATGTTGCCTTAGGCCATACAGTTCAAAAAGTTTATCCCTGCTCTTACGAATACCTGGAGTCGCCCAATCACTAAATAAGAACTTGGTGTAAATACTTTTTGTCTTTTGTGGAACTGTCATTAAATTGCGATTTTAACAAGGTAAAAAACTCCGCATAGAACTCATTAGGGTCCCAAATATTATTAAAGTTTTGAACACACAATTTACTGGTCAAGGTTTTATTTAATTTCTCTAAATTTTTACTTGTAATTGGCCTATACCTTATTTGAATTTTATGTACAGGTATGTAGGCACAAAACGTTATTGTTTGTCCACTGTGATCAGAAGGCAATTTATTAACAATTTCTTTATGTAAGTAATCACAATTACAAAAAATATTATCTATACAAGTGGCAGAAGAAGCTGTCACTCTAGTTGGTTCCATAAAAACATTAGACAGATTAAATGATTTAAAAAGACTTATTAATCTGATACTACATGAGTTTGATGTTTGTTTCTAATAAGTTAATATTAAAATCACCACTTATGATGATTGATTTACTACTAGTACTAAGTTTTTTTAACACATCTTCCATTACAGAATCAAATACAGATAGATTCTGATAGCCTGGTCTGTAAACACATACTACAACATGCTTATCGAGCTCGACACAGGACAATTCTATGGAATGTTCAACTGACAATCTGATAATGTCTTTCCTTTCTTTAGATTTAACAGAATCTTTGATTAATATTAATGATCCACCGTGTATCATACACTTCCGGCTGAAATAGCTAACTACACAATAATTTTCATAATTAATAGACATTATCTGATGATCATTTAACCAATGTTCAGTTAAACAAATAATATCGAACTTGGTTTTTTCTAAAAACATTTCTATTTCCAGTAATTTGGAAGAGCAACCTTGAATATTCTGATGAAATAATCTTAAAGTATGTTGCTTTCCTTTTGGTTTATTAAAGCATGTTAAATTGCCAGAAGATACCTTTTTATTATCCACGAATAATAATTGATTATTTAAACGGTTAACTTCTGTTGTCTTACAGCCTAGTTTAAAGTACTATCCGGAGTGACCTCTACAGTTGTAGAATAACCTAAGGTATGTGTTCCAGCAGGAAGAGTATACTCTATCTGACTGGTATTGGCCTCCAAGTATGTTGGTATTATAGGTGGACCCTCCTTCGTACAACATAAAGATATATTATCAATCACTATGTTGTTAGTGTAACTAGGCAACACAGTCTCGTCACTAATCCTAGAATTTGTTATATTAGCTATAACATTGTTAATATTGTATGCTATTAACATAGCAATCAACCGTCTACATTCAAAAGACAGAGATAAAGTTCTCTGAGTTAACTTAGAACCACTAACAAACTTATTAGTGTCAAAATATATCCACCCATAAAACAAAAAATATCTACTTATTTACAATTATTCTTATTTTTAACATTTAATTTTATTTATTAGGGGAGGTGGGGGGAACTGGAGCCTACTAAGGAAAAAGTTAAATAAAAGCCAAATTTATTGATACTTTATTAACTTTTTATTAGAAACTAAATCCTTACTTATTCGACTATCATTTAATCACAGCGTTAACGTAACATAATTTGACATTTTGCCACAAATAAACTTAAAAGAAAAAAACAGGATCGCTCTCATTACCCGACTTTGCGGGCAATGAGAGCCTATAATTTCGCACAGACCACCAAGTGCATCTTACGATTTTTTTGAAGAAAAGTTGGAGGAAATTTTGTGTAAAGTTAGTTTTAAGAACAATAAGTATATTATTGTATGTGGTGACTTCAATATAAATTTATTAGAAAATACCTCCATTAGTAAAAAATTCAATCTGTTATTAAAATCTTACAATCTTGTTAACTTGTTTCTTGAGCCCACTAGAATTACAAGCTCCACTGCTACATGTATAGATAATGTATTTACAGATGCAGAGGCAATGCAAACCTCAATTACAACTGATCTTAGCTCAGATCATTGTGGACAGTTAGTGGCGCTAAAATGTAAAGTGGTGAAACAAGTAAATAAGAGCAGTGTGTTTGTTCCAGTGAATAAAAAGCGAATGGTGAGATTTAGACATAATATAGGTAAACGCCTACCTTTATTACCGGTAGGTACTACCGTTGATACACAATACAACAATCTAAGTGATTGTATTAATAAAGAGTTCAACACCATCTTTACCTCAAAGAAAGTCTCTCATTCGCAGTGTAAATCGTTTAGTGATTGGGCGACAGCGGGAATTTATAAAAGTAGACAACGGTTGTATGACCTTTACGCTGAAAAGTCATACAATCATAATGAAG